TACAGTCTGTGGGTTTCACTAATTATTATTATTTCTTAAAGAAAAGATGCTCTGCTCTGTTTTCACTTAAACTTCATGCCATGCCAGTGATGTTTATTTAATTCTTTTTCACACTTTTGCAGGCTTTTCTAACGCACACGGCACACGTACATCTGAACTTGTAATAACATTACACTACTCTACAGTCTCTACTAGTGTTTGAAGACCATTGATTCCACTATGCATGTGACTTTTCTTCCTTTTTTTTTTCCAAAGTTTATGTCTGTCAGGTCAGGTGCTCAGAAAAAGAGGAGGAAAAAAAAATCACTTGGAAGTTATATGATACTTTCATATTTCCTCTTTGAGGCATTCTTTGAAAGTGATAATTTTTACTTGATTGCCCTGCTCAACATTAAGTTTACCTGGAGAATAACATGTGAATATCTTTAAACCACTATCTAAAGCCTTTTTAAGAAGTTTTGCTATGTTGGTTTTTTATTATATAAATCAGTGAGATGAAAATAAACAATTGGTGCTTGAATTGGTAGGGAAACTACTTAATATGATTTTCATAAAAGGAGAATTTGATTGTAGAAATGGAAGCAAACCAACGATATTATGTTTTTTCTGTTAGTGGTTTTATATAACTTATATATAAATATAAGACTGACTTTTTATCCAACAGTTACTAGAGTCGTCGGTATCTACCACGCTCTAAAATTCGAGCCCTATTGTGATGGTTTCGGCTCAATAAGAAAAAAAAATGCACTTAAAGATTGTTTGTGAAGATATAAACTCAAATTGTTTTCTTCTTGTCGTGTCTCCTTTTCAAGATGCACAAAAACACATTATTTATAGTTACAACTATACACTAATGAAGTCTTGAATCCCTACTTCATAACTCCATACATAATGGAGGTGAGTAACAATTTCACCATTAAGTGGATGTTAAAAAGTAATTGATGCATGGAATATCAATTACAAACTATACCCCCACTCAGCCATTGAAGTCGAGACTATATCATCAATATAATTCTTTATTGAAAATGAAAAATCTCTTGCCTCACACGAGCAATAGAGCGTGCGACCAAAAGTAACAATATTAGTATTATATTAAGTCACCATCTAACTAACATAACACTTTCATACTTACGATAACCTTAACTGTTAAAAAATCAACAACAACATACACAGTCCCTAGCTATATGTTATATACACAATATGGTTATATACAAAGATAACCGCCCGAGCTAATGTGGTGAAGCCGAATTAATTTTTTCTTAGACACTAATGAAACTACATCTCAACTTAGTTGTTTTCCTAAGACGCTCCGTTGAACTGTATAGACCATAGCTCTTGAATGACATATTAAAGTAGCAACACTAAGTCTCAATTTCATGGCATAGTCCTAAGTCAAAAGGTTTTGTACAAAGTTGGTCAACAAAGTTAAGAATATTCACACCATGACAAAGTAGGGAATCATTTGTCAATCCTAGAACAGTCGTTCAAATGCATATGCAATATGATATACGTGTCATAACATAGGTCCCGCTAAGATGGGCATGTCACTCTACTATGTTACTTGAATCTTTAGTCCAAAATACTACTCAAGCATCTAACCCGAACCACTTGATAAGTTTTTGCCGTCTGTGATGATTCACTATGATAGCCAAGCTGCTATAGGAAGGACGCAAAGCAACATGTATAATGGTAAGTCTAGAAATATTCGTCGTAGACATAATACCGTCCGCCAATTGATCACAAATGGTATTATTTCCATTGACTATATAAAGTCTAAAGGAAATTTGGTTGATCCTTTTACTAAAGAATGAATAGAGATAAATTGGAAATACTGCTAGAGGAATGAGCTTAAAATTCACAATGAAAAGAATGATCATAGTGGTAACACTACCTTGCTGAGTGGAGATCCCATAAACTTGGTTCAAGAAAAAAACTAAACAATGAAAATTCAACTAAGTACTTGGAACATAAGAATGTCCAAAGTTATTCTCTAAGACAGTCCAAGTGTAATATTACATGTTGATTGTGGGAAGGGTAAGTCATCTGGACTTTTATTGAATCCCTAATCTTCTTAAGGTGGAATAATACATGGTACTCTTGATAAGGAGGTCACCTATATAAGTGTGAAGTGAGGGCCGCTTCAAATATAAATACTTATGAATCCAAAGTGTTGTCCATCGTTAAAACGGACACAACAATAGAATGAAATGGAGTTAAGGCTCTATATTGTGTGAATGTCATAGTCTTGGTGCACACCATGGATAAATAGTTCAAGGCACTATGTCCACTAAGTTGACAGTACATCCGATGATGTTTACTAAGAAGGGTTGAAAGCCACAAGCTACCTTTTCTGATGCAATAGAGTCTTGTGAGGATTGAACACAAGAATCTGCATACATGCATACACTTGATTTTCACTCATGTGGGAGATTGTTGGAAAAATCAGTTAAAAAACTTTGGGTTTGACCTAATTTTGATTGAATATTTTATGGCTAAAAATTTAACTCGGGTTGAATTATACTGTATAAAAAAATTTTACGTTTTGAGTAAATACTCGTGGTATATTTTTCAAAACAGATTTTCGGTGAGTGAGAGATAAATGATTAAATTTAGTTACAAATGGGCACGTAAAACGAAGGTTGTGAGATTTGAATGGTCCAAATTTCTTCCCACATTGGACTCTTAAATGAGATTAACTTTTTTTATTATAATAAAGAGAGTTGGAGAGGTCACAACAATAACAAAGCTATGCAGTAAGTGTTGGTGTTGGCTTCGGCCACACACGCGCGTGCGCCTGCCCGCCCGCCCGTCGGATAGTCGGTCGACCTGCTCGTCTCAGGCTTGAGGACGGGCTTGGACCTGGGACTTGGGACTTGGGTCTTGGTCCTTGGTTCTTGGCAATTGGACTGTGGCAAGACTTGAGCGGCCTTGGGCGGTCTGGGTTGATATTGGGCTTGGTGCAGGGCTTGGGCCTTAAGCCCTACCACTATATATCATTTTGGTGTAATTTTATTTGTAATTTAAATAAAAAATCTAAATCAATTTGGATTTGGACTCGAGTTTGTGACCCAACCCGAGTGAGACATCTCTAGGTTTTTACTGAACCTAGACATTTGAGCTTCCACCTGACCGTTTCAGTGGTTATCAGGTGGTTCGATGGTGTGTTAACACCTGAAAACGGAAGGCTTTCCACCTGACCGTTTTATGCCCCAATTACACCAACCATTAGTTGGTTGTTTCATGCCTTAAGTGGCTGAAGACCAGAAGTCATCCTCCGCTGACTGGGAGTCCTATATATAGGACCTGTCTAGAGTTGCAGAGGGTGACAAGAACATCATCTGCATTTGTAATCTCCAAAAAAAGTCTCATGCATCATAACATACAACGCTCTATTTTCTACTCCATTTGAGTTTGCCGGAGCTCTGAAGTCTGAAGTGCTACAAATCTTGAGACATAGCCATTGTATCTTTGGAGACGAGATGCTTGAATCGTTAGCAGTCTACGGGGCGTATTCGTCTTGCGGAAAGAACAATCCTCATCTCGGTTGATTCTCTTCCTGCATCTACAATTTATGTTTTGTTATTTTCTATGTTTTTTTTAGTCCAATTTGTACGACCTTACGAACTGAAAACTAAAATATTCAATTCATAGGTTTCCTCTTGTAATCAACTCATAGGTCCTTGTAATCAACACAATTTTGTAACATATACCAGCCAATCTCGATGTTGTTAAATGTGCACCAAATATATATAATGTTTAAGGAATAAAACAAAAATAATCGTAAACAGGATGAATAACACGAACATGAAACTATAGCCAATAGACTTCATAAAAAATAAAACAATGTACTTACTTAAAAACAAAACAAAATTCTATAGTTTTGTATATAAATCTTTCATAGATTTTTTTTTTTTTCATTTTTTAAGAGAGTCCAGTGCTCGATCTCAAAATTCGCATCAGCAATCTCATGAATTAGTAGTGCTAGAGTCCAATGCTCGATTTCAAAATTCGCATCAATCTCATGAATCAGTAGTGCTAGAGTCCTCCTTTGTGCTCAATACTCGATTGCATCAGCAATCTCATGAATCAGTAGTGTTAGAGTCCAGTGCTCGATCTCAAAATTCGCATCAATCTCATGAATTAGTAGTGCTAGAGTCCTCCTTTGTGCTCAATACTCGATTTCAAGGCGGAATTTCGGAATTTCATACTCGTAAGAATAGATACTTTTATTTGATTTAGTATAATTTCTTGAATAATATTTTAATTTACAATAAAAAAATTAAATATCTATAGTCTAATCTATCTAATCTAAGTATTTAAGAAAAAGCTGTGCAAACGCTGTTCATTTCTTTAATTATTTATTTAGCTCCATTGGCCTGACACGTGTATAGTTTTGTAGTAAACTGATAAGTTTGCCCTTGGTTTTTTTAGTTCTTTTGATTCATTTTTATTCAACAGACTAGAATGCTCTTGCTTTTTTGTGTTAAGCATAATATTTGATTGGTTTTCTGGGAATTCTGTATTTGGCACCAAAACCCTATCCCCACAAGCCACAATTATTCTCAAATCGCTCTTGCCCCCAAACTCTTCCCATCGTCGCCTCAACACTCCCTCTCAAATTTCTCCACTTCCTTCAGTCGATCCTCGTAATATTATATTAAACTTTCAGGACTATTTTGTTTAAATGTTTAAATTTTTTTCAAATACGTGATTAGTAGTTCTGCTTGATTAGGCATACTTTCATTTTCGAGTAAACATACGTATATATAACTATGAGATGTTTAATCGAATAAACTTTACAAAATTTATGAAATAAATTTAGCTTGGAACAAAATATATCTTTATAAACAATAAAAAAATATTATGGTAAACCCTCAGATTTGTTTTATTGCGTTGGTGTTTCGAAAAAATAATATTTCATACATTTTATAGTTATAGAAAGGTTGGGGAGGGGCAAAGTACCTAAAATAAGAAATTTATAGTCATATGTGTACCATTATCAGCCAGTTGGAGTGTTCAACACTATTCACACCATTTGAGCGCTAGTGATAATATGATACCAAAATATTTTATTTTTTGTTAAAAAAGTAAGCAGTAAACATCAATTTGGTGGTGTTAAAGCACCAAAGTGTCAAATACTAAGCTAATGAGACAAAAGAGAACCTAAAATTACTTCTGCAGTTTGACCTTATTTTCACACATAGAAAAACTCTTTAACTTACTCTTCAAAATCACTTATATTAAAGTATATCACAATCCACAAATTTCGCAGCAAATATTCACCCCTCTGAAAGTGCAATTTTTCAAACATAAATTTTGAAAGATAGGTAAACCTCATTTTTGTAATTAAATCAATTTTCCAAGGACCCCTTTTGCAAATTCATCCACTCCCCAACTCCCTGTTCAAATAATCCACAAACATCCTTTTCGCGCTGTCCGCATCCGAGGGCGGCGGGGGCCCGCTCAGGCTCGACTGGCCCGTCAGCTTAATAAAAGTCCTCCGCAGCCTGCGCAGCTCGGGCAGCCCAACGGGCCTCGAGACCTCCACATTTGGCAGGCCCGGCCCAACAAAAACCCCACCAACCGAACTCCCCACAGCCCGATTTTGTGCCTCCACAACCACATTCACAACCTCCAGCGTGGCCCGATCCATCTCATAAAGAGAGTTCGCTTCCCCTCCGCGGCTCGTCTGAGTCGCAATCGTCGGCTGCAGAATCTTGACGTCTCTCGTTTTCGAGTCCACTTTTTTCGTCAGGTAATCGACGGCTTCCAATATGGCAGGGGACGTTTTTACGATTCTACCCTTACATGGCTGTATTTCGAACAAAGGCGAGTCCCACCGGTTTTTGCTGTCAGGCCTCTCGAATCTTCTCACTAAATCCTCGAAAATTCTGTCCTCGTAAAAAGACGGGTCATTTCTATTTCTCTCTCTACGCTCTCGATTCCATTCGCGACATTCGTTCTTGCCGGCGTCACAGTGCAGGACACAGTAGCGGGTCCCAGCAGCCCGAGCAAGGCACCAAAGCTCGTATCTGTAGCCTTTGATGTTGTTAAGGGAGTCGACTATTGTTATGGTATTGGGAGAAATCGAGCGGTCTACTTCGGACCTTAGAATGCCTCTCAGGTTTTTTTCGGAAGCCATGTCAGCATAGCTTTGGTTGCGGTCGAGGTGGAAGGACGATTCGTTGATGATGCGGGCCGGGAGATTGGGCTCGGATTCTTCAAGGGCTTCGAGGAGGCAGGCAGCGGCTGTTGACTTCCCGCTGCAGGGTTGACCGCAGATGACGACTAGAGCCATAATAACTCGTCTAAAGAGAAGAAACAAATATACATAATATTAAATATATATATATATATATATATATATTGTTTCACAAAATCAGGCCGTTTTCATTGATACTGTTTGTGAGTTTTGGCCAGTGGTGTTCATGTTTTGTAATGTAACCTAAAATCAAGGGATGGCAAAAGCTCTCAATCGAAAGAGCGAAATTCATGTTATAAGACAAGCTGCTACCAATAAATACTACAGAAACTGCGTTCTGTTCCGCAAATTACATCACCTACAAAAACTTGAAATACGAAATGTAACGTGGATAATCCATTGGAGGCATGAAGGAGGTGAAATTCAAAAGTTGAAAAAAAAAAAATTGATAGTTGTAACTTCTACATTTACTTCAGTAACTTAAAAAGGTTTACACTTTACAGCCCCTATTCCAAAAGCACCATGAGATTTCATCCAATTCGACTGAAACTAGCATTATAGTGAAGTTATTTCCGCACACGACTCGATCCTGAAACTAATACACAGTCCACAATATTTCCCCAAATTACAGTATCAATATTAAGAGATTAGCTCTTCACAGGCATTTAATCAAACATATCTCGAGCACAATCCACAAACTTCTTCACAGGCATTTAATCCACAATCCACAAACTTCGTGAAACACTAACGAAACAAACCAAATCTGTCAAGCCAATAACATGATGGGCGTACCTATTTACCTGGAATTGTAGTTAAACTAGAACAAGCTTACGATTCACGCAGGATAGAGGAAATTGAAAGCGAACCACAATGCTTTGCGTTTAGCAGAATAAGACTAAAAAGTAAAAGGCCACTCTAAATGAGATTATTATCTGGACATGACCCACGTAGTTTTCTAGAGTATGCAATGGGCCTAATGAGTGTGGAGTCCCAGGCCCATCTGACTAAAAATACAGCCCTTATACTGGTAATAAAAATAAAATAGTTTATTAAAATTAAAATACACTTTATAAAGAGTCATCCTATTTACTAAAACCAGTACAGATCCATCGCACGGGGTACACAAAATTAAGGCTATTTATCAAGTTTTATAATTATATAAATGAATAAAGAAAAATGTACAGGATATATATAGTACGTGACCTGTAATAGGCCAAAATATGAACACGGGTGATGCACGGGGTGCACAATTTTAAGGTCATTTATTAGTATAGAGTCCGTGCGATGCACGGGGTGCACAATTTTCTAGTATGTGTAATACAAATACATACCGTATGCACGGGACAGAAGCACTAAATGAGTTATTTCCACATAGCTTGCCGGTTAAGTAGCTCCTGAACACGGGTGCACAATTTGTAGTACGTAATATAAAATCAGAACAGATTTCCATACAATTAGATAATAAATAAAGCCTTTTTATTTTAATAAAGATTTTACGTACTTTTTTTTACTTATCGGATGTTATGAAATTTTTTTTGTTAAACCGATCTTATCGGATATGATACAAATACAATTAGAGGATTACACAAAATCAGAACAGATTTCTATACAATTAGATAATAAGAATGAATTAGATAAGGAAAAAAAGAAATTAGATAAAGAATTTTGAATCTACATTTTTTTAGTATAGATAGACTTTACGTACAAATTTTGACTTCACCGATTTTATAAGATTTGTTTTGACAAAATCAAAGATGAATACTGAAGACTGTTTCTATTAACATTTACAATGTGTATTTAATGTTTTTTTTTTGGAAAAATATTCTTTTTAAGTGTGATATATAAATATTAAAAATACTTAAAATATTTTATAACATCTATAAAAGCATCTAAAATATTTTATATTATTCACAAATAATGTTTGAAGCTACCTAAATTTTTCTAAACTACCCGTAAGAAAAATATGTCTAAAAATTCTTCATTTAACCTTCATATATGTATATATATAGAGAGAGAGAGCAAATGTGTAAAAAAAAAATTATACAAATAATATTTAAAAGTATCTAAAATATTAGTAATGAGACAGGCGAAATTTACATTTTTAAAAAATCTATATAGATAATGGATTTATAGTAGTAATTAGACTTTTATTTATTTACGTTTAAAGTTGTTACGATAGATGAGGGATGTGATATTTTTACTCGTGGAGATGGAATTTTATAAGCTGGGTTATGAAATTTTCTTAAACTCGTCCATGCGATGAGTTTTTTAAGCTGGGTATATAGATTTAAAATTGTAAAAAAAAAAAAAAACTTTCATAAATCATTTGATTTGGTATTTTCGGAGAGCTTCATTAATTTAAAAGTGTAAAATAAATAAATAAAAAATGTACAACTGAAAAAGTTACAACCAATTGTATGGAGAATTAAATTAAATCCAAATTTGTAGGATGCATTAAATATTGATTAAATTTTATATGTAAAATAAAATAAAAAAATAACTGGAATAGTTGTAAGTGTTGCAATATTTTATATTTAAAAAAAATAAAAAATCTTCATTTATGTATTGCATACCTACATTTTAGGAACTACATAGATATTCCTAAATTAATATTGCAATATTTTAGGAACTAATTAAATGCTAATTTGATTTGCATACCAAAAATATTAGATGTATTAATTAAATGATTGATAAAAATGGCAAATCATTAATTAGAGTTGACTATTCTACATACTACATTTAGTAAATAGTACCCCTTTAATATAAGTATAGATTAGTAGCTAGAAAAGTCAAATGACAATTAATGCATTTTATTTCCATCAATTTTTTCAATTGTATTATTATTTTATTGCTAAAAAACTGATTTGCATTAATTCATCCTTAATTGATGTGTTTTGCAATAAAATCGGACAGATAGACTTCAAGTAAAAACATGTCTCATTTCAAATTTAAATTTAAATATTAAAATTTCTTATCACTTTGTTACATTAAAATTCTTAATGAATTGTTTGTTATAAAATCGGACAAAATAATAATTGCATAGAATTTAAGTAAAAACATGTCTCATTGAAAATTTAATTTTGAAATTCCTTATCATTTGTTACATTTCCGAATGATTTGTTTCCCATAACATCGGACGAAATTAATAATTGCATAGAATTTAATTATGATTTCGAATTTATATCAAGGATGTTGAATAATTGCATAGAATTTCAAAGATGTTTAAAAAAATTAAATTCTAAAAAAACATTTGAGTATATTTTGTAAAATGTTTGTACAGAATGTTTTACTTTAAATTTATTTACAAAATTTAAATTATTTACATTAATAAATATTATGAACATACATTAAATATTTTAATTGCATAAAACAAAAAGAAGAAGAAGACTACATCTATAACTTGTATAAATAATAATAATGACATTATATTACAATAAATTTTATAATAAAATAATATGAATATTATACGAGGAACAAGGTTACGTAAAATTGTTATTTTTCTTATATCAAGGAATAAATATATATAATGAAATCAAATTTATATTATTATAAACATGTGAGGAGATAATATATTAGTTAATTTACGCGCTACCAAACTCAGGTTTAATGTTCCAACAAAAAAAAAAATGACGTTGATGAAAAGATGTTAAAAGTATATGATCAAACTCTATTATTTTTTAGGTCTGAACGGACAAGCCCTATGGTCCACTCATTTAATATCTTTCGTGAATCGCACGGCTACTTAACGGACAAGCTCTATGGAAATGACTCATTTAATACTTTTGTCATGTGCATCGCACGGGCTACGTACTAGTTAATATGTGATAAATGATTAGACAATTTATTTTCTACGGCTTAGATAATAAATTATTTTCTACGGCTTAGATAATAAATTAAAAATTTTCTTTAAAAATTTTCTATGACAATTTTTCTTTAAAAAATTTATTTTAACAATTAATATTTTAACAAGTTTTCTTTAAAAATTTAGTTTAACAAATTTATTTTAAAAAATTTATTTTAAAATAATATTTTAACAAATTTTAAAAAAATAATATTTTAAAAAATTAAGATAATATTTTAACAAATTTTAAAATAAATAATATTTTAAAAAATTTATTTTAACAAATTTTCTTTAAAAATTTCCTATGAAAATTTATTTTCTACGGCTTAGATAATAAATTAAAAATTTTCTTCCATTATAGTTAATATTTTAATAAATACTTACATATTTTAGTAAATAAAATAGTATTTTAACAAATATTTTAATAAAAACTATGCTTGGAACATGGCATTTTTCTTTAAGTTACAGTGGTCTATGTTTAATTTCCACTCCCATCTCCTAATCTTTTCACGTTTACTGGAACTCGAGAGGAAATTGATCTCTCATACGCTTCCTGTGCAAGCTCCAAGAAGCCGCCAACCAATGCCCATCAAATGGTTAACACAGAAACTAGAAGCCCCAAATTTTCTTCCTTTTTTTTGTTCTTCTGAAAACTGTAACTTCCCAATCGAGATTTTTTTGACCTACTTTAATTTTAAGCTTTTACTGTCGGAGTAACTGTGCGGTGCGAATGGCGTAACGGCGTGTTTGGTGGATGCAAGATTTTGCACTCGCAGCCAAATCCCGGCACGACAGTGAACACCCAAATACTCACGGAAGTGTCCCAGTGCGCCGAGAGCATCAATGGCGTCAAGGAAGGGCGCTCGAAATCAACTCTTAGCTTCTACAAGGCCATGGTCAGAGGTATCTCTTACTCTGGGTCTTGTACGCTTTCTGCTTTGAAAAAATTACGTCTTTTGATATGTTCACTAAAATTTTAGTTAATAGACAAATTTTAGTGAACATATCAAAAGACGTTCAACCAAGTCGAGGTCGTTTGAACAACAAAATAACAAATCTATAATTTCCTTGTATGTTTTTTTTTTTAAATTATATATCCCGATTAATCTCGGCCGCGCGTTGAGTTACTGGCTCGAGCCAATAAAAACTACGAAAGTCGAAAATATTCAACGCGAAACGACGACGTAGGTACCCACCAAAGACCAATTAATTGCAAACCTAAAATCAATTGCCCGACTATGTAGTAGAATTGTTG